TTAATCAGGGTGTCAATGCAGAAATGTTGTCAGTACTATTTGTCTTAACTTGAATGTCGTAAAGTCAAGATCTGCCTGCAAATTGAGAGGAGTAGCAATGACAAGAGAGGCCAGAGAAATATTTAAAAGGATACAGAAAAATTAAACTCATAGGCAGAAAATAACAAAAATAGATTAAGTTTGGAAAAGTGCAAATATAAGCACCGAGGAAAATATTCTAACCTGATGGGTGCAGTCCAATGAAAAAACTCCAGTTGATTTCAGCGAGGCAAGATTTTTATCCCAGATGTTGAAGAAATCCATGGAGAGCAGACTTAAGATAGGCTTACGGGTGACAGAGGGTCTCAAGATATCCATAAGTTTGCAATGGAACATTGTACCGTATTTTCCGGTGTATAAGACGACTTTTTATGCTAAAAAACATCCCCCAAAAATCGGGAATCGTCTTATACGCCGGGGCTTTTCTCGCCCTGGAGGACACAGACTGCGGGACCTCGTAGTCCCGCTGCCTGTGTACTTCGGGGCGAGAAAAGCTGCTCCGCGTCTCCCTGGTCTCCCTGGTCTCCCGCTGCCGGCGTCTTCAGAGGCTTTGCTCCCCGTCTCCCTGGTCTGCTGGTCTCCAGCAGACCAGGGAGATGCGGAGGAACCCCGTTAGTAACTGCAGATCCGATGTAAGTCAGATCCGCGTAACTCGGGGACTGCCTGTAGTCCCAAATGAAGTGCTTTGTTGTAATCCAATATGCAGGTGAGAGAGGCAAAAACTGTGCCAAGTTCCATATCCAAAAGAAATTATAAACTTTCAGTTAAATACAGATAGGAAAAAAACCTTTGACCAGTGACAGTTGAACATTTAGTAAGAAACCCCATCAGCAAACTAGAGTAACAAAAGCCTCAGCCAGGAGAGCAAAAATTCTCTGTTATTTCCTGCTATTAGTTCCCTGTGCCTAACTAGCTTTCTCTGACCACAGCTTGCCACTCAGGGTATGTCTATACTGCAGTTATTTTGGAAAAACAGCCATTTTTCTGAAAAATCTTCACTTACATCCACACTGCAATCGCATTATTTAAAAAAAATATCGAAAGAACACAGGGGGTTTTTCAACATAGAAAGATGTTTATCAAGAGGAAGAAGCCTTTTTCTGAAAGAGCTCTTTCAGAAAAAGGTGTGTGTGGACAGGGAAAAGGGAGTTCTTTCAAAAGAAGAGGAAAAAGCGCAGGTGCCCTGGTGGCCACTCCATCCATAGTAATCACAGCTGAAATGCAAGATTAGCATCCATATCTTTCAAAAAAGCAGAGCACTTTTTCAATGCGCTTTTGCTACGTATCAGAGGGGTAGCCGTGTTAGTCTGAATCTGCAAAAGCGACGAGGAGTCCTGTGGCACCTTATAGACTAACTGAAGTGTAGGAGCATAAGCTTTCGTGGGCAAAGACCCACTTCGTCAGATGCATGTAGTGGAAATTTCCAGAGGCAGGAATAAAAAAAATCATATTTTCATGAAATTTCCACTACATGCATCTGACGAAGTGGGTCTTTGCCCACGAAAGCTTATGCTCCTACACTTCAGTTAGTCTATAAGGTGCCACAGGACTCCTCGTCGCTTTTGCTACGTAGACTCTCTTTTTCAAAAGTTTTTTCAGAAGATCTCTTCCAGAAAAGCTTTTTCCGAAAGAAGCCTGCAGTCTAGACATAGCTTCTTTCTCATCCAGATCATTTCAGTCATATGTTGTGCATAGCAATCAATTGCCTTTCTTTATCCAGTGAAGTAGTCCTAATACTGTTTATCATCCACCTACTGTTGGGATTATAGTTCAAATAGCACACTATTCAAAACCATAAGTGCTATTCCTCTCACTGAGTTAATATTTCCATTATTTCTAATGATTTACTGTTTGTATTCTCATTAATTTGGAAATAGTACATATGGCTGCTTTTAAAAAATAGAACACATTAGCAAATACAGCCTGTATTTTTTTCCCTAAAAAGCTTGTTGACTAATTATGTACCTTTTTATTAATATACTTTAGGGCCAGCTGCACAACAGTAACACTGTGCTATGCTTCGAGATGTCATGGGGAAAACCTTTCGACTTCTGGGGTATACCATTCAATATGGCTGCATAGCACACTGTGCCTTTGAGTATCTTGGAGGAGTTGTTGTGGTAATTTATATTTTCATGCTAATAAGGATAATAGGTATAATCAGACCTTTTTTCTAATAGTGAAATTTTAGTATTATCAGCATTTTAACATCATGCTTCATTTCTGCATATATAACTTCTAAGTCTGTTAGTGTCCAGTTTTGTTTAGTTCTTTTTTTTGTTGTGTTTTTGAATTAATTGAACAGCCGCTTCCTGGCTGCTGGAGTTGGCCTCATGAAAATTTTATCTTTCATTACAGGCCTAATACTGCAAAGTATTCAGCTTGTTAAGGTCTACTGAAGCCAATGACTGTTAAAGGTATTGAGCACCTCACAGAAAGTTGGGATCACAGATAGCTCTTTTTAAAACCATTTTTCCCAGTCCCTTTTAGCTTTACCAGCACAAAACATAGTAAATCTAGCCTCCCAGAAACTGGTGGTACAGCTTCAAACTCTCTAGTTTGGCAATCTCAGGACCTGACCTGTTCCAAACCAGAGAACTGGCTGGACCATGAGAGGTCAATATTGTCTAGCAGCATTACCAACACCTTCTCCCGGGCTGTAAATTTAGAGCTAAATAACAGCACAGAACACCGAAAGCCAGCACTGGTGGCTGTAAGCAAACTTTATGGGACTGCGGGAAACTTGGCCACACCCACAGAAAGGGCCATCTAACTAAAATCATTCCAGACAATGGATGATTCCAGACCACAGAGTTCTGTACTAGAGAAGTTCAACCTGTAGTTGATGTAGAGCTACTGTCAACTTTTTTGCCACTCTTCGCCCCTTCATAATGGATGAGGGAAAGAAGCAAATCAAAAGGACTCTGCAAATCCTCCTCACAACTTCCTGATGACCTTTGTCTACTGTAATTGCATCTTTGGATTTTTGGCAGCTGTTTCAGGATAGAACAATATTTTTGGACATTAGAATAGACTGCTGCATATTGTACTGATATTTCCACAACAATATTAGAGTTAAGAGTGCTCAAATGGATCCTTTATACATTTCCTTTTCAAATGTCTCATACTCTTTGGCCAAGAAAAGGATCTAGTTTACTCTTTCCTCCCTCTTCCCCGAATTATAGGTTTTTGGTGACTTGTTTGCAAATAATTTAATCTCTTAAGTATGATACAAGTTAAAATATTTTGCAACTAGTATTTTTTTATTTACAGTGTTCTGGACCTTCAATGGAACCAACAATTCAAAATTCTGACATTGTCGTTTCGGAGAATCTTAGTTGCCGTTTTTATTCCATTCAGAAGTATGTTGCTTTCTTTAGATTGATGTTTAGTTTGTCTGTTGCCTTCCCAAAGTATTCTTTATGTCAATTATCCATCTGTTTTTGGTGGGGGCGGGGGCGGGGAAGAGTTGTATTCAAATTCTTTTAATTTTTTTTTTGTACATGCCAGTCTCCTTTTGCTATCTTCCATTACAGAAAGTTTTGTTTGTATTCAACACCATCAGTATTACAAGATTACTTCAGCCAGAGTTCTGGAATGTAGTGAAATGTCACTTTTGCAACATTGGCCAAAAGAATCCAAACCCCTATGTCCTTTCAACCATTTTTCTTACTTATCGCCACACACAAACTATTTTTAGTTTATCTTGTCATATATGTTGAGAGGCTAATAGTCTTGTCTCCAAGTAGGAGGATAGGGGAGTGATTCTCACTAGAAATGATTAAAGTGACATTTATTTTTTATTATATTGTTTCTATGCCACTGAATTGTTTGTGGAGCACTTCCTATGTACGTAGTGATCATCAGCCACATAAAAGATATGGCCCTTGTCCTGACTGCTGTAGTTTACAATCTAGTGCATATAGCTAAGGGATGATAGGTCAAACGAGTAGGGTGGGGAATAACAGATTCTTGAAAATAGAAGTAGGAAGGTTTCCTGAAAGAAGAGTTTGTAGAGGATTTGAAGAAGGTTGCTGGGTATACAAAAAAAAATGGTTGCCTACCTCTTGTAATTGTTGTTCAAGATGTGTTGCTTGTGTCCATTGCAATAGGTATGTGTGTGCCACATGCACAATTGTTTGAAAGTTTTCCCCTAGCAATACCCATCGGATCAGCTGCAAAGACTGCTGGGGTGGCACTGCTACGGTCACGTGCATATGCCTGGCAGCCTGCTGTCCATAATCTGACCTATTTGAGACCACTTTGAGTAGGAAAGTAAGGTGCAGACACAACAGGACCTTATCTTTGTAAAGGAGGTCCTGATTCCCCTTGGTGTCCATGGCCAGCAAAGAGGTGGAGGAAGTCCTGGGCACTGCCTCATCTGGCAGTGAGGACGAGGAGGCCCTGGGCCCTATTCTGGTTCTCTAGAGTCTGCCACAGGTTGGGGCTCTGATTGTGACAGCTGACTTGGGGCTCCAGTGACCACGGGCAATGGTCCAATGTCCCTCACTGATACAGAGCTCCCAGAGTAAGATGTGCTCCTGATTCTGTGGAGGTGAAGAGAGGTGAGGCACTAAAGCTACCCAGGCAGTTCTGGAGTCCAACCATTGACCCTGGTGGTGGGCCCAACGGGTCCAAAAGGGCCACTGGACAGCCCCTTGCCATTGCAGTGTCCAGAAGACCATCAGCACTGGTGGATCCCACAAGCCCTGGTGATGGGAACAATTCTGAGAGCACTACCTATAAATGGACCAACAAGAAGCTAAAGATTCTCCCAAGTCTGAGGAGTAATCTGACTCTGACCTCAGCAATACCGAGCTCGTTGGTGCAAGGGATTGGTATCAAGGGGACAGTGATCAACACTGAATGGCCAGCAGCTTTCCCTGTTGCTGCAGTGCGGGAGATCCTGGTACGGACACAGTAAACATTGCTGGAGCCAGAGCTGCTGCAGTCGGTGCCACCACCATCGTCAGTGCTGAGGCCGAGACTTGTACTGGTGCCACGTACCAAGACTGGCACAGAGGGGACTGTATCATTTCAGTGAGGTCATGGACAACCTCAGATGTGTTAGGTGTGGAGGGGAGGTTGATGTCACCCTCCAAGGCCTCCCTGACTGGTGAGTCCACCAGCACTGGACTTGACAAGCTCCTCCCTGGAGCCGGAGTTGATAGTGCTGGGATGCATGATATCAGCTGTGTGTGCCCAGATGTAGGATGCACCCCTCTGGAGCCCTTGTGTCTGGCTGGGGACTGATCTTGGTCCACCTTTTTCTCTTTGTGTGGCACTAGAGAATGGGATTGGTACCTTATGCTTATACCCTGCCAGCCTGCTGGGGTGTGGTGATGTTGCCTTTGAGAAGATGTTGCCTTTTGGCACTAGTGGGGTCCTTTGACACCCACTAAATTGACTATTGATGGTGGCCTCGTTTACTCTAGAATTCCACTGGGTCATGAGGAGTACGGGAAGTAGATAGGAGAATTTCTCCCACCGACCTCGCGCAGTGGGGATGCCGTGGAAATTCAACCTAAGGTTCATTGACTCCAGATAATATTCTCTTTCCTTTTTTACTCCTGGGCTTGAAGCTCCTATCAATAGGACAGTTGTTCATTTTGATGTCTTTTCCCAGACACTTGAGACAAGACTTACATGTATCACCCTTAGGTATGCAACATGCCTCACACTAGGGATGTTAGTGTGTAGTGGATTACACAATTAACTGATTAACTGATAAGCCCAGGCTTCAATTTCACACAAACACCCACCCTTTTCTGCCTCTGTATCAGAGGCAACAGTGAGTGGGAGCTGGTGCTCCCCTTGAGCACTGGTTCTCGCCTGTCCCCCCTGCATGTAAACATGTAACCACTACAATTTCCAGTGGTTACACATTTACATAAATAAAGGATAGTTAACATCCTTGCCTCATACAGGGATACAAAATGTGTGTACAGAAGGAACCCCTAAGTCCAAAACTACACCAACTACACTAATTACACTAATTATAACAAACTACAGTGACTTAACAAAAGCAAGAACTGACTGCCTAGGACTAGGTGAAAGACTGCTAAGCTACCACTCACAAAGCAAGAGAGAGCAACGGCAATGTTTTGTCACTGGCAGCAAGAAGGAACTGAGCAGGTGGTGGGTCAGCAGTGGCATATATACACTGCTGTAGCAATGCAATTCCAGGGAGCTCCACAGCCAACCTGATGGATACCATTAGGGAAAACGTTCTGATGATTGTGCACAAGGCATGTGCACACATCTGTTGGAATGGATATGAGCAACACATCTTGAAGAAGAACTGAAGGGTTATATATGTATAGTAGGCAACAAACACGCTGATTTTAAATTGCTTTTCCTTGTGCAGAGCATTGTCAAGTGAAGACCAATTGTGTTTTTGTTATTCAAGTAGTATCCATTGAATCTCTTCAGAAATGCTTTTTAAAACGTAATTGGTCCTTTTAGCTGCGTTGTCATAGAAAAAATAGAGATCATAGGCAATGATTCTCAAGTAATACATATTTTTGAATGAAAAAAATATGAATTATTACTTATGTAAATATTCATCCAAAGACTGTTTTATACTGGCATTTCTTTACAATTTTTTTTCCCAGAGGTGATATTGTAATTGCAAAAAGCCCAAATGATCCAAAATCAAATATCTGTAAAAGAGTAATTGGCTTGGAAGGAGACAAAGTTTGTACAAGCAGTCCTTCAGATTTCCGTAAGAGCCACAGTTATGTAAGTATACCTTTATTTTATAAATAATATCAAGAATATTTAATATGCATGATCACATTATTATCATGATTAAAGTAGAACCTGAATCTTAGTTTTTAAATATTGATAATTCTTGATATGTGGTTTTTCTTGTGAAATTGTATACTTAATGTGCATTTTTCAGTGTATATCAATATATTCAAACTGGGCATCTTCCTTAGTGCTCAAGTCCAAAAAAATGAAGTGCTGCAACTGTCAGGCCTACCTCCCCATTGTGGAAGGAGAGCTGTTGACTTGGTAACTACGGTGGAACCCTAGTGGAACTGGGGGAGACTCCCTCAACCTGGCTCTTAGCTGCAGATGACTAAGCCACTCTCTCTCTTTCCAAAATGGGTCTGGAAGTAGAAAGGTGGGAAAGGCAGCACAGAGATGTTACCATCTGCCTTGTCCACCATGTCCACTTTGAAGCCCACTCCTGAAGGAGAGATGGCTGCTTATTTTTCTTTCTGGTGTAAGGAGCAGGTTCAGAAACACTGGAACTCTGTTCCACCTCTAAAAAGGCAGTAACATTGTTCCTGAGCATTCCAGCATAACTCCTGTGGTCCTCCATATCTATACCAACTTGAGGCAGAGCAGATCTTTGCTCTATTCTTTGCATAGAACTGCCTCTCTGGAAGATCTTTGCAGAGTTTTCTGTCTCCAGAGGTACAGATGGCGGACTCAAGGACTCCCTTTTATAGCAGAGCTTTTCTCAGTATTTTGAAAAGAACTTTGACTAAATTTAACAGTTTCCTCATTGACATTAAGGAGTTTTGATGCAAACCTGTGTCCCATTTAATTTTCTGAGAAAACATTTTGTCATAACCCTCTGTCAGAGATAGCAACAGGAAGGAAGAAGGGCAAGAAGTCTTCCTCGCCCCACCCCAGCTCATGCTATATCCCAACTAGAATGTCCTAGGAAATGCTTTACACTTCATGTCAAGTCTCTGCTGTAAATAGTTTGAGTTGACTAGCACTTAAACTGTGATCTTGTTAGTGTTCAAAGCTGGAAAATACTATCATTCTGGAGTTTTCTTCATAGAGGGCATTCCAAAGCCTGGGCTCAGAGCAAAGATTTGGTCTGCCTTCAGTTGCTATGGAGACAGGCATACTCACTGAAAAGACTGCCTCTCTGATCTGGAAGGTTTTATAAAGAAAATTCACGTGTAAGGCACCATCCTCGTATAGCCCATACATTACAGCAAACAATATTTTCTCAAACTAAGGGCCTGATCCAGTGAGGTGATTAGTATACTCAACTTCCACTGAAGATAGATCTCAAAAGTAGTTAATGTTTAGTAATGCCTTTTTATGTTACATATTATATTACATTTACATTTTATATATGTTACATATTACATATACTATTATACATATATTCTGTCTTTTAAAACTTACTTTAGTAAGTGTACAGTACTTTGGTACGTCTCTATATTAGGATATGTAGTATGTTTTTATATGTATGTTGTATTGGATATATAATCAACACATTCAAAGTCTTTAATGAACAAAGACTATTAATCGTGTGTTTTTGTTAGACTGCCTAATGCAGAAAAATTTAAAATAACCTTACAGTATTTTAATAATTCTTAATAAATGGTTCCAATGTGACACTTTTTTAAAAAAAATTACTACTTTTTCTCCTTTTATGGGGGCAGGCTTTGCAACACTTAACCTTCTTTTTAGGTAACTTGTTTGTAAACCTGTTTATGGGGAGTTATGACACATTGGGTATGTCTAGACTGCATCCCTCTGTCGGCAGAGGTAGGCAGATTAGGCAGGTCAACATTGCACATGAGGCAGGGATTTAAATATCCTGGGCCTAATTTGCATAAAAATGACCACTGCGTTTTGCTGACTCAGTACTTTGTCTGCAAAAAGCAGAGGTCTAGAGGAGGATCGCCTTTTTCGACAGATTCCTTATGCCTCCTGCAAAGAGGTTTATAGGATCTGTTGAAAAAGGCTTTCTTTCTCGACAGATCCCCCTCTAGACTGCTGCTTTTTGCTGACAAAGTACTGAAGCAATTTTTATGCAAATTAGGTGCAGGATATTTAAAACCCGGCCTCATTTGCAATGTTGACCTACCTAATCTGCATCCCTCTGCCGACAGAGGGATGCAATTTAGACATACCCATTGAGTGACTTGCCAAGCAAGAAATACTAAGAGGTTTGAGCAAATAAGTACCTTCCCCTGTCCTGTTCTTGGATTCTGATGTCCACCATTTAGTGGTTAGATATTATAGTATGCTTACAGTTAGTTGAGACACTAGTCTGATACCAGTAGAATCTGTGTAGCATCTTTATCACAGCTAAGATTTCAGCTGCCTGTAGGAAGCTGCTGACCTTGTGAGCAAAAAATAAATGTCCTCCTATCCATGTCTATGAGAATTGTGTTGAGCTTGCATCAGCTAGAAGTTACTGTTGGCATATTTTACAGATTCTGACTGTGTGATATCTGTGCTCATGAATACTGGGGAACCTAAAACCTAAGTGTGTTCTAAAATCTAGTTCTACTGCCTTCCCTACATTTATTCTTGAGTTCACTTCTGTTTGTAAACAAGGAGGGGGAATGGGTCCTTTATTATTAGGCATTTCTACCATTTTAAAAACAGTGCCTTATTCAGAAATGGAGGGAAGAAAAGAGAGGAAGATATCTGCTAATTACAAGATGGCACCCTTTAAGAAGAGTGAATCTATAGTTTGAAATATACTAAAGAAGGTAAATAGACTAAGTTTGAGCAAAATATGTATCCTAAATCAAGTTGATTTTTTTTGTTTTAGTCACTCATTTGTGAGACTCTCAAGTTATGTCCATATTATGAATGGCTGGTCTCTTACACCTCCCCACCCCTTCGTTTCCTGTCCCATCAGTCAGAGTATTTGTGGTGTTAGTGATCTCAAACCAGCATATTTTTGTACTAATGGCCTTTTCTCTTTTCCAAGTCATGTTCTTAAATTATTGAATTTAAATTTCAGATGTTATTTTTTAGCTGTACATTTTTTCTGGCAGGAAATAGACTATTCGCAAATTTTCAGATATTTGAACACGTGCATATTTGTAAAGAATATCACCACTTAGCATACAGTGAAATTGAGTCATATTCATCCATATTCATTTTATATTACTATGTTTAACTAAACTTTTTATTTTTGCTTTTCAGTTTGTGTGAACACTAGAGCCATTCATCATGTGTAAAAAATTATTTATTTAGCATTAGAAAAATTTCTCACTGAGGATTTTATATTAGGTTTTTAGACAGTAATTTGCAGCAATGTTGATTAGGGGGTGCAAATGTGCAGATATCTGCTTTATATCTGTGGGTAGCCAAACCTGCGAATGGGGATACAGGTATCCATTGCTCATTTTTGTGGATATGGATGTAGCTGCAAATATAGATACAAATGGTGTATCTAGAACCCTGCAAATTTAGGGATATCTGCTTTATATCCATGGGTATTTACATCCATGGATGTGGATATCCGTGGCTCTTTTTTGCAGATGCAGGTACAAAACTTTGTATCCATGCAAGGCTCTGTTAAGGGTGTGAGTATTTTTATTAATATTATTAGCATGTCTCTACTGGCAAATGTTGTACTATAGACACAGTAATAGCAGTATGAAAATGCTTTTGCCTTTACACCATCAAATCATTTTTTGCCCATATCAAGTTCATCTATACCAGGAGGATCAGTTGAAATCAGTGGAACTATTCACTTGCATGATATCACTTCTATGTAAAAGCTTGTGGGATTGGATCTTAAATCTTGAATACAGTTGCTGGTTATGGTTTAGATCCTGATTTTTTTCAAAGCATATAAGCATGTAATTAAATCTCATTGACTTCAGTGGGGTTTCAAAATGTGTATAAAGTTAAGCATATGTTTAAGTGCTTTCCTACATCAGGTTCTTAATAGCACATTTTCTTCAAGGGATAGGTTAGCTCAGGTGCATAAACCTCTGCCTATTCACATTTTAAAAAAAGAAACAGCTTCCTATATTCAGAGAACTCTTAGAAAGGAAATAAGCTCTTAAGAAAAACTGCATGTTCTTAGTTTTGCTATCCTTATAATGTAATATGAATGTAGTTTGGTAATTGTCTTCATTTATTGCAAGAGGGAAATGTTAGCGTAAACTCAGAGAAATAAATTTACTTGATTATACTAGATGATTTCAGAAAACACTTTCTTGTAAATGTTTCTTGCTACTTTACAACTCAGACCACATTTTCTTATAAAGTATAAAAACTGAGCTTTTTTGAGGTGGCTCATCTGATATTTAAATACATTATAAAGCAATCTTGTAATTTTATTCAGTTTAAATTACAAAATCCAAATCTTGATAGGATTTAAATTTCTTATTAACTGAATACCCTGTTGTTGTTCCCTGTCTTTTAATGTCAGTTACCTTAGTTTTAAGTTCTTTTTATACCATAAGCTCTGTTAGTGCAGCTCTTGTGTACAAACTCAAAAAGTGAAAGGGAAATCATCAGAGTAAATCAGCTTATACATTATAATCCTCCAACATTCTAAGTCCTTGTGTCACTTAAACAGAAGTGGTACCTAATAATAGCATTTAATACACCTGAGGTCTGTAAATAAGTGATAAAAAGCTGAGATATAAATCCATTTCTCAGCAACACTCCCCTGATAATCAATCACAAAACACTGCTAATGCTATGACTCTAGCTGATGTGGGGGAACTATGTTTACTTTGTGCTAAAATGAGGTTCATTGCGGAGATGACATGGCCCTTTCATCCTGTAACTAACTCTAGAGCTAACATAATTCTGAAGATAATGTGCTTTATTATGTTTGCGCATATGAGAAGTGGTCTTATTCAGAGCTCTTGAGTCTCAAACATAGTCTGTGTCAAATGCAAAGAGCACTTTTAATATGAACACAGAGAATAACTTAATGCTAATGTAAACAATATATTAGTTGCTGAATCCTAAAATTTCAAAAGACAATATTAGTGATTTTA